GTATTTCAAATGAAAAACAAATCTTAGGATATCTTTATAAAAGAAGGGATAGTGCAAGTGTCTTAGACCTTCATGAACGTTTTCTTCATCTAATAATTTCTTGGTGGTTTCGACCATCCGAAGGTCGTTATTCTACTCTTAGAGCCTTGGATCTTTGGTGGTTACATTGTTTTGAAAATAGTTTTAAAATAAACCTACCTCAGATCATTTTTACTGAAATTGTTGAAACCGTAAACCTTGTTCCTAACAAGAAACTCTGTTCATCTCTAGTTTACGGTTGCATTTTGAGTAACCTATTTTCTAAAACCAGGCTTAGAGTTAGTCTAGATGCCTCCTTTCCTCTAAAGAAACAAATTAATCTTCTTTCCTTAACGAGAGCGGGATGGATAAAGGATAAGGAAACCGGTGAATGGATTCGATCATCTGAAAATACTCCGGGAGCTAGTTCTTCACGAGCTCAACTAGAAGCTGATGACGATCTCGAGCTTCAACAATTAATGCGAGACATCGATGAAGCCGAAGATGAGCCTGAGCAGCCCGAGGAGCAAGCACAACAAACGCATCAAATGCCTCCATATTTTCAAACCTTTATGGAGACATTCGATTTCCGATATGTGACCATGGATTCGCGCTTTACTTCTATAGAGTCCCATTTATCCACAATGGGAGCTCAACAATTAGAAATTCTTCGGGAGATGCATGCAAACAACGAAGCAACCAACGCGCGTATTAATGAACTCACTCACGAAATGGCCGTTATGAGAGCTCGTTTTCCTCCTCCCGATCCGGATGTTTGATTATGTGCTTAGCTTTAAAAACTTTGAACTAAAAGATTATTGTTTTAACATTTTGATTATTTTGGAATGTTTGAATTTGTGGATTGATTGATTTTGAATTTGTTTGGATTTATGGATGGTGAGAACTTATATATTTGGTGTGGTTAAATTTATTCATTATTGCATCATTTACATCATTTTAGCAATATGACCAATTTTGCCATGTCACATTAAATATGAATATTGATTATGAAACTAATGACTAATGTTTCTCTTGATTGTGATCTTAGCAGCTTAAACTATATAATCAATTGGCTAAATAATTTCAAAACCTTGTTTAAAATTCTTTACGAATGTCTTTTTGATTTAACAAAAGGGGGGAGAAGTGTTAAAGTTTTAAAGAGGAGTAAGTGTTAAAGTAAGCGGGAGTAATTTTCAAAAATGTCGGTTTTTGATTTCAAAATCTTAAAATCACTAAAATGTTTTGTTATATCAAAAAGGGGGAGATTGTTGAAAACATTTTGATATTTCGATATAACAAATTAAGTTAAATGAATTTTAAGATTGTGCAATAAGGTTTTCTAAGTATATTCGATATAATTATTTGAATATCAAAACATTACTCTAAATCTTTCAAAAATCATTTTTAATCCTTACTCAAGTGTAAAATTAAGTTTTAATCTTAAAACAATTTCAAAATAATTTTACAAAGTATTTCGAATCATTTCAAAGCCAAAAATTCCAGATTGCTCAGAGGGAACCGATTCCCCCCCAATGGTTTGGCTCCGAGAATTCCAGTATGCTCGGAGGGAACCGATTCCCCCCAGGGGGTACCGATTCCCCCCTGTGTAACAGTCGAGATATTTAAATTTTACACTTAGGGAACCGATTCCCCATAGGGGGTACCGATTCCCCCCACGCTCCAAACTGTTTTATTAATTGATTTCACACTAAAACGGCTATATTATCTTCATTAATGATCCCCAACGATCAGAAGTGATTCAAGGTGTATTTAAGCAAGCTTAGAAGCCATTGATCAAAAACAAGAAACATCAAGCAACTAAAATCAAGGGAGAATCAAAGAGAAAACATCAAACCTCAAGTTTGAGCATTTCAAGCCTATTTTTCATTCAATATTCATTTTTCTTTCAAGAACACTTATTGTGCTCAATTGTATTCATTTTTTAGTGTTCTTTTCTTTGTTCTAGAATTGTGCAAACAATCTACCTTGTGAGGATTTCCTTGTAAGTTTGCAAATTTGTATTGTTCTCTTTGGGAGAGAGTGTTCTCAAGAATTTGGGGTATAATTATTGAGGGTTTGTAAGGTTACTCTTTGTCCTCAAAAGAAAGACAAGTTAGCGAATTTATGGAAAATCCTTAGTGTGGATAGCTAAGGTAGTGGACGTAGACTTTGGTTGAGAAAGTCGAACCACTCTAAATCGCTGTGCAATTTCTTTCAATTTTCTGCAAAAGCTTCCACCAAATTTTTTATTGCCAATTCACCCCCCTCTGGGCCGATTCCGTCAATCGATTAACTCAACAAGTTCGTACCATGACATTTTATGTTCCAATTTCATTCTCATTTACTTTATTAATTTAAACACTTTTATTTCTTTCATTGATAGAATCACATGTATACATGTTGTTTATGTAATAGTGTTCAATAATCAGATGTCTAAAGCTTATATTCACAAATATTATTTTATAACGACTCACTAAAAGATTTATAGCCATTTAATTGAACCCATGAGAGGGCCTAATTAATGGCTAACACACACTACTTGTGATCAGTTATAGCACCAATAATTAGAAGGCTATCGGGAAGGCCTAAGAAAAATAGGTGAAATGAAGCATATGAAACATCAAAGTCCCATGCTACAATTACCAAGAAATGTCTGACAATGTACTGCTCCAAGTGCGATCAACAATGACACAACCAAAGGAATTGTAAAGGGATAGTTTGAGGCAACACACCACCTAGATGACCTAATTTTAACACAACAAACAACTAAAAAAGGGTTGAATTTAGACACAATAAGACAAAACTACAAGTATATATTTGTTTTTCTTTTTTAACCTTATATCATAATTATGTTTCCCATTTTGGTACACATATGAATACATGTTAGGAGAATAATTACATCAACAACCACAACATCATCAAGGGATACAACATCACAAGCACTATCATCACAAGCTAGTCTATTTGTCTTTGTTGCTTCTTTAGGCCACTCATCTTATCCAATCAACCAGCAAGTAGAAAATGTAGTGACAATTAGATGGATGCTTGCCTTACAAGAAGATATCATTGTCAACCTGTATTTAAGGCAGCTAAGCACTATAACCTAGACTTTCTAAGAAGATAGTCCCTATGATTTTACAATACAATCAAGGATGGTGCAGGTTGATACTATTTCAGAGCTTAGATATTTTGCTTGATATTTTGGGTTGTATACTTAAGTTGATGAACTATGATCGTTGGAACATATGTGTTTATTGATTTTGATGTTTTTGTTTTATACTTTTGTGGGTTTTATAGGTTGTTATTGTTTCAAGTTAAGTGTTTATGTGCACTCTATGTTTTGTACACATGTGTTTATTATCAACCACAACTCTAATTGAATGACATTTATTTTTTTTACCATTCATGTTATCTTATATTATTGATTGTCATGGTGTCATTTTACATCCATTATAAGCATACTTTAAATACATTTCAAGTAAAAATATATATATGAATTTTTCAATTTCATGTAATTCAAAGGGTGACATTTTACATCCATTATATCATTCACAAAATATCTTACAAAGTCATATAAACCTTAAACCAAATCTAACTCATTAATCATCAAAATTTCACCCCTCAAATTTTTGTCTCATTACAAACCAAAAGTACAATCAACAAAATCCAGCCTAAAATTTCATCACCATTGTTGTAACACCAATGGTTTAGGTACCATACCAATACAAACCATAAAAACAAAAATAACAATCTAAGTAATTCTCTCATTCCTTCTTGCAATTTCATTTGCTTTGATTTTTTTTTCAACAATCCAACAAGAACAATGCTTGCGTGGAGTCATTGGAGGATCAAACCAGCAGAAAAATTGACAAGCAAGTTGAATCAAACTCCTATAATTTTTATAGCAAAAAATCTTCTTCTGGGATTATCATTGGACCATGATGTCCTCAGTTGAGCCAGATATCCACCCACAAACTGGATATGCAATGGGTTGCTCCATTCCACTGTCGAACTTTTCCTTGTGATTTTTTATTTTTGTCGTTGATGAGAAGAGAAGAGAAGAAAAGAGAATGAGGAAAATGAATTTGTGATTTAGGGTTAGGGTCACAAATTAGGATTTTATATCAAATAAACTATTGTTAAAATGGCAACAAGTATCCTACTTGGATTAAATGGCTTAAATGAAACCTTATATGTCATCACTATCACGGTAAAGAGATGACATGTTAGTCGTTAAGGATTAACGATGGGGTGACATAATTGCAATTAAACATAAATTTCAGTGATAAAATTGACAAAATTAAAACATCAATGACATTTTTGAACCCGAACTTAAAGGTCAATGATATTTGAAGTAGTTTACCTTAAAATTTAATCCTTCAATTTTAGTTTAACATAATTTATTTTTATATAATATTATAATAGATTCAAATTAATAACATTATTATTATTTAGTTAAAGTTATGATGAATAATAAAAAAAATTAATTTAGTTACATAATTAAAATTTTAATTAAGAATAAATTTGTATATTAATTTATTATAAAATATTTGAGTTTCTTTTAAAAATATTGAAAGAACTGAAATAATATCATAAAAATAAATCTTTGTGAAATCTATAAATTGGTCAAATTCTATAAAATAAAAAAAAAGTTAGGTAACTAAAGATACTTATATTATTCTATCTTAAATTGAATATTAATGTTTAGTTTAAAAGTATAATACTTCTCCTTATCGATTAATTGATTAATATTAATAATTAAATAAAAAATAACATTATAAAAATATTGGAGTATCAATTATGTAAAATTAAAATTGAATATTCAGCCGCTTAGAAGCATTAAAATAGAGATCAAAAGGCAATAAAAGATCAATTATTGTAATTTCCACGTCGGCAATCTGTGGCTACCCTCACTGAACCAATGAAAACTCGCAAGCCAGATTGCCACTCGCTTTATAAACGAACCTTTTTACGCCTCTTTATCCAATTGATCACATCGTTACAAAGAATCGCTAAAGCCGAATTCTCCACAATCCCAAATCATTCCCAATACAAATAATCTAGGGTTTTAAACGAAGATGAGCTCTCCAGGATCAACGAAGGGAGGCAGAGGCAAGCCCAAATCCTCCAAAGCCGTTTCCCGATCTCAGAAAGCCGGCCTCCAGTTCCCCGTTGGCCGTATCGCCCGCTTCCTTAAAGCCGGAAAATACGCTGATCGCGTTGGTGCCGGTGCCCCCGTCTACCTCTCCGCCGTCCTTGAGTACCTTGCCGCTGAGGTCCGCGCCCTTCTTCTTTTTTAACCCTGTACTTTTAACATTCCCTTTTGATCGTAATTTGCATTAGGGCCTAAATGAATGCAAATAGGCGGATATTCGACCGTTTGGGTAATAAAAAAAACCTTGTGGTTTCAGGTTCTTGAACTCGCTGGAAACGCGGCTAGGGATAACAAGAAGAACCGTATTGTTCCGAGGCACATCCAACTGGCCGTGAGGAATGATGAAGAGTTGAGCAAACTTTTGGGGACTGTTACGATTGCTAACGGTGGCGTTTTACCCAACATTCACCAGAATCTGTTGCCGAAGAAGAGTGGTAAGGGAAAGAGCGATATTGGCTCGGCTTCACAAGAATTTTAGACGATTTTCTTTCTTTTTTTAGGGTCGTCTGAGAGAGGGAGAGTTTGTTGTCGCTGGGTTGTTTCGTGAACATGGGCTTGATCCAGCATAATATTGATTTTGGGTGGTTTTTGCTTTTGTCAAATATAGCATATATGTCGTGCGAATTGAAATGCTATATTCTTGTCCATACCATCAAACCAATAATACAAAACAAGGTTTTCATATTCTATTCTCCTTTCATTTTGCAATAGCTTTTCATTCTTCCAGTTAAGCTTAGATTTATCTAGCATTTGCCTTCGATGCCTGCTGTTTTAAGGTAAGCAGAATTGTGTAGTTGATGATTATCAAAATTTAGATTTTCAATCTGATAGATAATGAACAACAATATTCTCTTAAAGATTAAAATGAATGGGAATGCAGCTCAAATGGTTAAGCAGTTGATTTGCATGCGAGAGGTACAGGGTTCGGTCCCCTGAATCTCCATCTCAAATGTGGATACATCTGCTCTTTAATTTGTGAGTTTCAAGGCTCTGCTTAGGTTTGTCCGTACTCATGCCTGCTTCGTCCTCATGTATCTCAAATTCGATACTAATAAAAGTTCCCGTAAAAAACTAAATTTATACTACTATATCGTCGTTGGAGATGGAAACCCTAATGAGAGTGAACGACATTGCTTCGATGGAGAAGCCCCGTCGGAAGACTACTTCCGGATCCCCTCCTGGAGGACATTCTCCCGAGCATAGGATTGGATCCAGTGATTCAGTTGCCTGACATTATATTTATCCCGTGCTTGAAAGATCTGGCTCCCCTTTGACATCTGATGATCAGAGGGCAGTGAAACGTGTGAAAAATGCACAATCTGAAGGAATCAGTATTTCGAATGGTAGAGACAACTCGGTTGATAATCAGAATTTGGATATGAATGAATCTACTGTGGGCAAGCAGTCGTATGCCAGCTGCTCTTCTGTTTCAAGTGGTACAAATAATCCCATAGATTCAAAAAAATTCACTACAAGCAGAGATTGTGGTCAACGATGAAGATGTCATTGTGAAAACAGTGGACCATTCCCGAAAATTCAATTTGCAGACAGATAGTATGAGGAAAACATTAATTATCCGTTTGCTGGGACACCCGACTGGCTATAAAGCTTTGTTGAATCGGATTAGTGCGTTATGGCAGCCGCAAGGAGAATTCCAAGTCATTGATTTTGAGAATGATTATTTTGCTGTGAAATTTGCTTCGGACTATGATTACATTCATGCTCTTACTGAAGGGCCATGGACTATCTACGGTAGTTACCTAATGGTCCAACCATGGAGTCGTTCCTTCTCTATATCAGAATTGCACCCATCACAGGTAATGGTATGGGTACGTTTACCAGTATTATCATTGCGATATTACTTTAAATCTCTTTTCAGGCGAATTGCTAATGTTATTGGAAAGGTTGTTCGAGTGGACTTTAATACGGTAGCGGGTGAACGTGGCAAATTTGCACGATTGACCGTTATGGTAGATTTAAATAAACCTCTTGTGCCATGCATTGGGATTGGTGGATTTGTGCAATGACTCGAGTACGAAGGCCTACATAATGTATGTTATAAATGTGGTTGTTATGGCCATTTAGAATTGGGATGTGGGAAAGATTTTGTTCAAGAATCAGTAAATCAACCGGTTGCAAATAGTGTAGTTGAATCATTACCGGCTGAAGCAAGGTTTAGACCATGGATGATAGCTGAAAAAAGACGTGGACGTATGAAGAAGCCCTTGACTGAAAGTAGACGAGGAGGTGCATCGAATGGATCTGAGAATGGATCGAGATTTAATGTCCTACAAGAGGAGGACGAGGGGCTAAATTGTAGGGATGAGTTAGATCACGGCGCTGAAGAACCTCAGGGACATGTTGATGTGCAAGTTACAAGTATGGTTAATCGAAAGAAATCTGACTCGGCTGCAAGAAAGAAGAATGGTTCAGACAAAGTGGTTAATACTGCTAATGAGGTGAGTACCAATGATGTCATGGCGTGGAAAGAAGGGCAAGTTCTAACGGTTGAAGTTCATAAAACCTCGGTATCATCTGGCCATCACTCAACACTTGTTATTAGAGAGGAATGAGAAGGTTTGAGCATGAAAAGGAGGACAAATGGGAGATCATAATTCGGCAACTCAAAGTAAGTGTTGGTAGAGACAAATCGTAAAGGATTGAAAGTGAAAAAACGTCCTGAATTTCGAGCTCCCCCACGACTAATATTATCTGAAAGGGTACAAACACTTTAAAAAAAAATTCATTAATGTGGGTGTTGGCTGTAACGAGTCAGCTGAATCTCTAGACCCAGGGGAAACCATCTGAATATACCCAAGAGTTGACTAAAGAATCTGATATGGATTTAGGAAATGATGAGGTTCTCGACAAAGAGAACCAACAGCCTGTTCAGTAAGTTTTATGGACACTTACTCTTTGATTTAGTTTTATGTTTAAAGCTCTTTTTGGGAACTGTCAGGGCGCAGCTATCCCTACTTTTGTATGATATTTTAAAGATTTTATTAGATTACATTAGCCACAACTTATTGCACTTATGGAGACAAGAGTTAGTAGTACTATTGCGGACAAGGTCATTCAAAGATTTGATTTTTCGAATTCCTTTCGGATTGAAGCAAAGGGATTTAGTGGAGGAATTTTGCTTCTCTGGTCAGATGATCTGATTGTGGATATTAAAAAGGTGTCTAATCAATTCATTCATGGTTGACTCAGGTTGGATTCTTCCTCTCATTGGTTTTTCTTCACTTCAATTTATGCAAACCCAAATGCTACAAAGCGTAAATTTCTTCGGGATGCCCTTCAGAAACTAGACCCAGGCACTGGCTTTCCATGGCTTTTGGGCGGTGATTTCAACACAATATTAAAGCCAGATGAACGTAAAGGTGGATCAGTAACTGGTGGAGGAGGGAGTAGACTTTTCAATGAATTTATTTTTGATCGTGGTCTGGTTGAAGTTCCTTTTTCTGAATCGAATTTTACTTGGTGCAGGTGTACTCTTTATCAATGCCTTGATCGATTCTTATTTAATGAAGATTGGTTGTCTTATTTTCCAAACACATATGTAACACATCTTGGAAGATTGGGATCCGATCATTGCCCATTGCTTGTCAATATGAAGTCTCATGCTAATAATCACATTAACAGACCTTTCAGGTTTTTAGCAGCATGGCAAGATCATCCAAATTTTGAAGCGTTGTTACTGAATTCTTGGGATGTAAATGGTGATATAATTCACAGCTTAGAGACCTTTACAACGCATGTCATGAGCTGTAATGTTAGTGTGTTTGGTCATATTGGTCGTCGAAAAAAGAATTGTTGACACGCATCTGAGGAATTGAAAGAGCTTTGGATAGATCTCGCTCAGATTTTCTTGTGGACCTCCAAAGCAAGCTGAAATCTTATTTAACAGATGTTTTAAGCCAAGAAGAAAGTCTGTGGATCCAGAAATCTCTTTGCCAATGAACTTTACATGGCGATCGTAATACTAAGTTTTACCTTTCTTATGTGATGAGTCGGCGACATTGCAATTCGGTGTTGGCTCTCAAGACATATGACAGATCATGGTGCACCGATCAATTGATACTTCAATCAATGGCAATTGAGTTTTATAAAGAATTATTTTCTAGTTTGAGTTGTAATGCGCAAGACTATGCTATTAGGGGTGATTTTCCGAGGCTCCCGAAACCCACTTTGGATGGACTAATGCTGCCCATTATTGATGCTGAGGTTATGAATGTGGTGTTTTCTATGGGTCGCTAAAGATAGCTACTTTTATATCAGTTTTTTTTTTGATTGGTCTTTCTAAATAGTTGTTTGCTTCTGTTGGCTAGGGTGGTATAGGTCCAGCAGGACATTCTACTGATGATCTGCATGTGCTTGATCTGACCAATGATAAGTTTAAGTGGCATAGGTGAGGATCAGCTGTGTGGCTTTTTTAAAATTTCTAATTGTAAATTGATGTTTCATTATAATCTGACTTCTCTTAATCGTTTTGGTGGGTTTTTTTGGCTAGAGTGGTGATGCAAGGGCAGGGTCCTGGACCTCGCTATGGCCATGTTATGGATTTGCTTGTTCAGAGATATCTTGTCATTGTAACGGCAATGATGGTACGGCATTTCACTTCTCTCGAGCCAATGCAAACTCATGCTTGTCTGCATTAGAAATTTGTGTATCCAATATGCACATGTACTCTCGCAGCTGTATGACATCTCTGCATTTGCCTTGCTTTGGACAGTGATTGATAACAACTTTGAATTGTTTATCTTAACCTTTTGTGTTCACTTTTTTTTTCATTTTTGAGCTATGATTAATTGCATAATAAATTATTTTATTTTCATGCTCTTAGATGATTTCCTAGTGGCATAAAATTCACCATTCCAGTCTGACATCAATTCTCCTATATTAACCTCTGAGAGAGCCTCAAATTTAACCAGCCCTAGGTTTAATCAACCTAATTTAAGTTTGTTGCCAACAATAGCTTCAGATGGTATCCCAGAGTTCTCTTCGTCTGGGGGCATGAGGTGTGACTTGAAGCTCTCTCTCTCTCTCTCTCTCTCATTCTGTTATGGAATAGAAGAAATAGAACGAGGTTTAAGAAAAGAATGAGAGAATTGAGAGAAGAAATCAGTCATTCATTCATTGCATAAGGGATTTTTACAACCAAGGCAGGTAATTTATTTAGTTACATTTGCCATACATTTCATGCCAGCTGTCCTTGCTATATAAAAACTAAATAACAGAATTATTCTTCTCTTTCCTTTCTTCTTCAGGTACTGAACCTTTGGTTTTGGGCTGCTCCTTCAGACATTTACTTTGCCTGGCCTGCTCCACTGCTATGGTAAATTTCCTCGTGCACCTCACGTGATTTAATTCCCAATCCCTGTCTTCAATCCCTAACCCTCGATCCTCATTTCCCAATTGTTCTTCGATGGTTCCTCGTCCCTCTTCTTCTCCAACCATGACAATACCCACCCCTCGAGACGAGCCTTGTCGCCAAGGATCGAACGCAGTAAACTGTCCCTTGAGTGTCAAATAATCCTCCCAAATGTCATTCTCTTCAACGAGATTCTCCCAGCGAACCAAAAGTTGAATCACAGGTTTGTTGTTTTTGTTTACAATCCTTCTTCCCATAATCTTTAAGGTTTTGATTTGTAATAACCCTTCATCATCAACTGTAGGAGGATCGGTGA